AGTGACATTTTTGTAAATGATATTTTTGCAAATGAATACATAAAAAATAGTATTTTTGCAATTTTTTCAAATTTTTATTATGTTTTTAAAAAATTTATGTCACCCGTGAAAAAATGAAGATAATTAAAAAATATCCTACTAAGCTATCTCCGTGACGCAACCGAACACATTAAAATGTATATTGATAAATGATTGTGTTTAATTGAATTTGGTGGGTTGCAATACACGTTACAGTTTATTTCAGAAAATATTTTTTTCAATATTATTATTAATTTTAAAAAAGCAAGATTATTGTTTTGTTTAACGATCTTGACATAATTTAAGCAATTATGAAACAATTACCCTTTAGAGAAAATTTGGAATAATACCTTAAAAGGAGTTTAAATTTTGAAAACTACACTTTTTTTTTTGAAAACTATACTTTTTTAACTAATTTGACTAAATTGTCCTTGTTAATGACTTAATACTTCAGTACATAAATTAAAATTATAGTAAAACATAAGTTATATGATGCAAAAACTTATTATTATTTTTTCTAAAGAAAACAACAATTACCTATTCAAATGACTTTAACTTTTCGTTTTTAATCGATGAACTCTTAGTTTTATATGTGTTTATATATGAATGGTCCAATAAAATTCATATGTTATATATAAGAGTACTAATTCACTTAAATTAAACAATTTCATATGTTACATATATAACTAATTCACTTAAAAATTTTTCATTCATTTCCCATATATGTTCGTCTTTGTGTAGTTTTTTGGTGTAGTCTGCATATTTTGGGCAATTTGTGCTTTGCATTTTCATAGACTCAAATTTTTCTTGTTTTGCTTGAATTTTGTATGACACGTCTAAAAACTTAGACACATCATTATTAGCCAATTTCAAAAACCAAGTCTACGAACACAAATTATGACATAGCAACATATAAAGAAGTTTAAAACTATAATCTTTTGAAATTCTTAATCTTAATTGTAAAGCTTAATAGAAAAGAATAATTCATGATTTATTTATATTTTGGAGAAAACGCATAAATTTCATTTATATATTTTTCGTAATTAAAGTAACTAATTAAAAACAACGTATACAAACGATTCTTTTCTATAGCCAAGCAAAAAAATAAAGAGAAAACAAGATCAACGATTGCTCTTTGTATAGAAGCAAAGATAAGTTTCTAACATATTTCAATAGATTTATCTAATAGCAAATTTTAAATCAATAAAAAACTTGATCTC